GGGTGGACGGATGGATGGGTGGGTGGGTGGATGGACAGACAGGTGGATGGTGGATGGGTGGATGGATGGACGTGGATGGTGGATGGATGGATGGTGGACGGGTGGATGGATGGATGGATGGATGGATGGATGGACGTGGATGGTGGATGGATGGATGGGTGGGTGGGTGGATGGATGGATGGACGTGGATGGTGGATGGACGGATGGTGGACGGGTGGTGGATGAGTGGTAGATGGATGGATAGGTGAATGGGTGGATGGATGACTGCATTTGCCAGGCACTGTACCAAACAGCAGACACAAGGCTTGTCCATACAGCTCAGGAGGCTGAGTAAGTCAGGTGGACAGGAGATGGAGGACTCTGAGCACCAGGAGTGGACACTGCCCTGTGCAGGGTGATAGTCACAGGAGCCCAGGTGTGAGGATGAGGATGCTGTGTGGACATGTAGTGTTCAAAGGGCCCCATGGAGACAGACATTCTGCACCATGGGGGGGGCCTACCTCCCCACAGTCTGTCCACATCTGCGCCCCAGGTCTCCAGGAGCAGGGGGCACAGAGAGGGGCTGGGCACCCCGCCTGCCTCAGGGCCTCAGGCTCCTGTCTCTGGGGCCTTTTGTCTGAGCGGGCTCGCATACCCCTTGTGTCCCCAACCCAGGTTGTTTCCCTGCTGAGTCAAGCTGGGCAGGGCGCTGGGGGTGAGCCCGGGTCACACGCCTGTCGAGCCTTCCCACGGTAGGCCGGCTGTCTTGTCTGATCGGCCCGAGAGGAGCAGAAGACCCCATAAAAAGGCCAGTTCACCCTGGGAAGATGAAATCGTGAATGCCAGCACCCAGTCACACGTACCACAGTTCAAATGTGTGGGAGGTCTGTGAAGAGCAGGACACCCCACTTCTACAAGGTCCAGATGCAAGGGCAGGGGGCTGGAGTCAGGGAGGTTGAGAGTGGCCCCTGGAGGGGTGGGGGCTGGGTGAGTGGCGGAGCGGCCTCCAGACAAGGCGCAGGCGCCCCACACTTGCACCCCACTTGTTTTCGGTGTGAATCTGCTTATTTACCATCTTGATTGGGGACCCTTTCTATTTTGCAGTTACTATAAATTGTCACCTGAATACTTCCGCTGCCCTCTTACTTTGCAGAAGTGCCCGGTGCAGACCATACATTCTCTGATCTGCCTAGAGGCCAAGAGCAACCACCCACTGCCCACACCTGCTGAGGGACCCTCTCTCTAGAAACCTCTCCTCCTGGAGCTGACCATGTCCACATGCTGTCAAGCAGCCCAAGGCTCCCTTGCAGTTCTGGGATCCTTAGAAAAACAGCTGGATTTTTTGTGGTGGTAGCTGTTTTATAGGACAACTGTTGTTATGTTTTTATGGTGACTCTTTCTAAACATAAACAAAGATAGCAAGAAAGCATCGCAAGTTCCTGCCTGGCACGCACTGTGATGGTCACTAACACCTGGTCACCCGCCCCCACGCTGACCCTTGCTGCGTTTTTTTTAAGGCAGACCCCAGACGCTGTGTTCCTCCCCCTGAAGCCTGCGGGAGAGCGGGCAGCCCGGCAGGCAGGGCGAGCAAGCGCGCAGCCGTGCAGGCGTTTGCAGTGGTGTGTGAGTGAGTTTCAGTGTGAATGGCTGTTTGCCTTTTTAGCCTAAACTAGAATGAATTCGAGGTGGTCCTGTCACCGTATCCCTTTGCAGTCTCGTCCTCTTGGGCCCTCTCAGACGGGGGTAGGACTGAGGTCCGAAAGCTGTGGGTCTCTGGAGTGTGGACTGGAACGGTTTGGAAATCTCTGGTGCGGGACACTGCTTTGCGGCCACCGGAGGCAGGCGGTATAAGCCAGTGCGTGAACAGACACACTCACAAGTGGTTCATTTCTTTTGAGACGGCAGGTGGGGGGCAGAGGGCAGATGCAGGAAGGAGGAGCAGACCACAGGGTGGTCTGAGTGAAGAGAGGTAACAAGCAAACGGCAGGGCACATCAGGCCCCTCAGGAGAGCCAGCAGCTGACCCAGGATGAAGCTGACACCCGGCAGGATCACCTGTGGGCCCCCTCGCCCCCATGAGGTTATATTGGTCAAGATACTTTTCAACCACAGGAGAATACAACTCAACTCAAAATAGGTTAAGTAAAAGGGAGAGTACTGGCGCACATAACTGGATGCTTTAGGCATAGCTGGATCCAGGTGCACAAATGGTGGCGTCAAGCTCCAGTCAGAGAGCAGGGAAAGGTCAGCCCCCCTGGAACCACATGATCAGAGGGGAGGGGAGAGTGGTTTCCCAAAGGAAACCCAAGGTGCTACTGACAGGAACAGGAGGATGGGTGCTGGGCAGACAAGAAGCAGATGTCCACGTGGAGGGAACATTTGCAGCTGCGAGGATGGCCCGTAGGCAGAACTGGGGCAGAGCAAGAAGAATCAAGCCCTGAACCTTGGGGTGCAGCCACAAGCAGGATAAGGATAGCAGACTGGCAACCCCTGGGTCAGGTCCACCCAGCGGGAGTGCTTAGTTGGCCACGGCTGTTTTTTAAATCATAGAAATCCACACGGGTATTCAAGTGTCCGGTGGAAACCCTAGAGCAGTGTCCGCACTGGGCCCCTGACCTGGGGCTAAGCAGCTGCGGGCCCGGGAGCGGGGCCTGGACCCACTGCTGGCCGCGGGCCGCAGGCGCACCTGCCTCCTCACCCACTGCCCCCACACGCTCCCGCTTGTGTTCTCACCCAGCCCCGTGGGGCATTTACTTCTGCACCTCGGGGCCTGGAGACCCGGGTGGGTGGGAGAGGTGGGGGAGAGTGGGCACGGCCCCAGCCCGGGAGCATGAAGAAGGCTTTGCTGAACAGCAGAGGAGACGGTAGGTACGGGAGTGCTGCAGGCCCCCAGGAAATGCAGACAAGATTTGGAGTCTCGGGCAGTGGAGGCTGGCCCCTCCCAGCCGCCCCAGTGGAGCCACAGCATCCTTCCTGGCCATCCCTGCCGGCCCGCCCCACGGCCCAGGCCAAAAATGCCCTGCAGCTCGGCAGCTCTTGGCCCCAGAAGCAGAAAAGCCCCTATGGTTTAACAGCTCAAGGTGGTTTCTGCGTCTTCCCGCCCACCTGGCCCCCAGAACGCACACACACACATCGAACGTCTTGGCAGCTGGCGAGCGCTAACGTGGCTGAATTGCTTTTGGGGACTTTGAAGGAAACTAATTAAAACCAGCTGAGATGCGAAAAGCTGGAAGGTGGCCGGAGCCAGGGACAACCTTCCATGGGTTTGGGAGGGGAAACCAGAGCCAACTGGCCGCTACCACCAGCCATGGTGTCCAGCAAGGCGTAGTGACAACCCCACCCGGGCACTGCCCTGCGTGGGGCCCAGAGCAGCATGCAGAGCTGGGGCGGGAGGGCAAGCAGAAGGGGTGCCCGGGGGGCCCAGGAGGCTGCTCGCCTCCTGCTCAGCGGGCTGCTTCAGAAGGTACCTCTTGGACTCTTTTCATTATCAAACCAATTTCTGTTCCATGTCAGAAACTCAGACATGGAGGAGGCCAGGACCAGCCACTTCAATCCCCTCTGCAAACTTCCAGAATCCTCTCTGTGTGCACGGGCTCTGGCACCTAAGTGGCTTCAGTTTGCTTTTCACAGGACGGATCACAGAGCGTGGGCTGTGGCCACTTGCTTCCCATCGGGCGGGCACAGGGTGGGCATCTCGTCTGCAGCCCACTGGCTCCCTGCTCTTGTCCACAGGCGCCTGGGGGCCAGGCCTGGTAACTGAGTCCATCCCAACCATGCCATTTTGGGTTGCCAGGTAGCTTTTCTTTATTTCCTACTGTCTTGTTCTTACTGTAAAATGAGCATAAATGCATTATTTTCGGGGGAAGGAAAGATCGCCAGCATGTGTCTACATGCTGGAGGTGGTGGTGTCTGTTGGCCCCTCCGGAGGCCCGAGGCTACCCTGTTGGGTGGTGCTGGGCCTCCGTTCCCCTGCCCCTGAGACCCCAGAGGGCCCTCAGCTGAGTGAGGAGCCCTGGTGCCCGTGTCCAGCCTCAGCCGAGGAGGCGGCAGGGCCTGGGGGCCGGGTGGCCCTGGGCAGAAGCAGCTGGCCCAGAGCTACCCACGTAGGTATGCAAGTGCCAGTGCCCAAGCATGTGCGTGCACAGCAGAGCGCCCACACGCGTGTGCACCCACAGATACACGTGCGCACCCTGCCCTGACTCCTGCCTCCCTAAGAGCCTGCCGGGGAGTGGGGAACCTGGTAACAGGCCCCATCTGCTGGACATTTGAAGGCGGGGGGGGGGGGCACGGCCTGGGATGGAGTCACCTGCTGCTTCTCCAAGACCCCAGGCCTCCGAGAACCAGCCCAGCCAAGACACCACCCTCCCAGCAGCACCCCAGGGTGGGCAGGGCAGGTGATGTCAGACCCGTTTTTCTGATGGGGAAATGGAGTCCCAGAGAGATATTCTTATAATGTCACCTTTAAAATATCTAAATTTGTGTCTTATATCCAGACTTGTCCATGCAGGCTCAGGGCAATGGGAGAGATGAATTAATATAAAAATAACAATAATGAAATAATAGCTCATCTTCCCTGAGGCATCTCATGAGCTCAGTGCTTTTCATGCACTGTCTGATAAACCCCCACAGACAGACCCTGTGAGGTCAGGATGAAGGCCAGACCCATTTACAGGTGAGTAAATGAGGCTCAGAGAGGTTAGGTCACTTGCCTGAAGTCACACAGCAAGGAGATGGTGGTGCCTGTGCCTTGACCATAACGTGATACTTGTTCGGTCCCACTCTCCTGAGAAGGGGCTCGCTGGCCTGTGGCCCCCAGCTAGTGAGTGGGGCCAGGACCCTCTCTCTGGGGTTGACCCACCTCAGGCTGCCGCTCACACCCGCTCGCCCTGACAGACATCGGCCAGGGTGGGGTCCTGGATCCCACAGCCAGGAGGCTACAGAGCCCCTGGGTCAAGAGCAGACAGAGCCTGGCTTTCTAGGGCGTGAAGTAGGGCTCACTCTTGCTGTCCTGGGAGCCGGAGAGGGGGCCGTGGGGACACGCTAGCTGGGCAGGGAGCAGGATGAGTGTGTCATGTCTCCTTCCTCTTCCGTCTGCTGGAGCAGGGCCCACGACAAGCATCTCCATCAGCCCCCAGGGCGCTGGCCCCTCATCCCAGAGCAGTAAGATGTGCACGCTGTGGCCTCCAGCAGCCTTGATTCCAGGGCAGTGTCACCCCAGGTCAGGGCCATTCTAGGTCAGGGTCACCCCCAGGTCAGGGTCATTTTAGGTCAGGGGCACCCCCAGGTCAGGGTCATTCTAGGTCAGGAGCACTCCCAGGTCATGTCCACTCCCAGGTGGGCACCACCTCTGCAGAGTCACCTTCCTGCAGAAAGGTGTGCACCAGCACACCCTTCCCTACCCTGTGATCTCCCCACTCAAGGACCTCCAACAATCCTGGTCTCCAGTGGTCCCTCCTAGTGAGATAGGAAGCCCCCGGGGGCCTGGGGGTGTAGGACCCCATGCCCACAGCCCCAGGGCCACCCCACATGCTTTTAGGACTGTGTGGCCCTCCCAGGCTCGTGGCAGCTTGGAGACGTCAGCTAGGCACACAGTCAGACACAGGCTGCACCATGGGTCAGGGCTCCCCTCCCTCCCTAAGATGAGAAAGTAGCCACCAGCCTCAGCACCCAGCCTCCTGCACTTACTTGCTGTGCAATGACCTCAAAATTCATGTATCTTTCTGAGCCTGTTTCCTCACGTGTAACACAAGGGAAGGGAATTCAGAGCCACTGAGCAAACACCGTGCACCAGGCAAGACACCTGGCGTCTCTTTAACCTCACCACAGAGCTTTGGGGTAGGGATGGGGTAGAAGTTCCAGGAAAACTCTGCCATGCGTGCTCCCCTTCAGTCAGATGATGGGAGCAACCAGCTCACTGTGCCTTGTTCCCTTTTTGCTTTGGTGGCCAGGAACCTCGGGGCTTAATTTGAACCTCCTGTGAGGTTTTGGCTCTTGGTTTCTGTCTTGACCACCTGTGGTGTAGACACCATTTTTCCTAAGCCCCCTTTAGGTCCTTTCTGGGGCAGAAATACAAGTTTTAAAGAAACAAAGTTGGGAGGAGGGGAATTAAAGATTGAGGAAAGAGACGGAGAGGGCTGCTGCCGTCAGGCCACGGTGCGAGGACAGGCTTTGCCAGCCACGCATAAGACATTCCAGCAAGTGCTCATTGAGCACCGCCTGTATGCATAGCACTGAATCATGTCTCTACGTGTGTCCTTCCAGAATCTTCTCTCCTCCATCTCTCTGTCTCTCCCAGGCCTCCTTCCGGTCCCCAGCAGTTGGCTGGCTCACAGGCTTCCTGGCGTGGCCTTGCCCATCTGCCCCGTCCCCGCAGATCCTCACTGGCTCGAGGCTGGCCCCCTCTCTCTCCACCTCTCCATCAGCGGCCAAAGGGAGAGGGCTCCCGGCTGGGCCGGGCACCCCGCAGCCAACAAGGATAGAAATGGTCACAATGCCTTTTTCAGTCCCTGGCAAACTTCCCAATTTCTTCCTTTCTTCCCTTCTTTTCCTCCAACTGATGAAAGAAAAACACCCACGGGCCGGGGAGGGAGGGACGTTCTGCCGGTCTCAGCCAGCACCACCCTCGGAGACCAACAGAGCCAGGGCTTATCTGGGATGAATGTCTGCGTTATTCACGCTGCACCCCCTGGGGCCGGGGCCCCTCTCTCTGGCCAGCCCTCCACATCGGCCCCTCTGCAGGAGACAGGGGACCAGGGCTGGGCCTTTGAGGTCCACGGCGGGGGTCATGCTGCCAGAGACCCCCAGAGTGTGGTCCACGGAGGCCCCCAGAGAACCTGCGCTCAGGTCAGCGTGCTGAGAACGGACGTCCCCAACCAACCTCGCCGTGACTAGGTTTACTCTGGTCCCGGCCGTGACAGGGTGGGAGGCTGGCAGCCAGAGTGGGGGGCACGAGATGGTGGGTCTGATCTCACCAGGGCCAAACCAGCGTCTGTGATGGAGGCTGGCTACCTGCCTCATGGGGAGGCCACCACACAGGCAAGAGGACCTCGAATGCAGAGGCGGGGGGGGGCACGCAGTCTTCAAGGTGAAGATGCTCCCTCTCGCCAGCCGTGTGTGTGTGTGGACACGTGGACACACCAACATGCTATATGAATGTGTGTGCTCTATGAATATATGTAAATATGAGCTTTTCTATGTGAGGTGCATTTCATGAGGAAGTTTACATTAAAACAGGTAAAGCAGGACAAGGAGATAGACAGTGCGGGGGCAAGGTGTCGAGGTGGACCCGTGGTCGGAGGCCCCCCTGAGTGGCCGGCATGTGAGCTGTCTGGGGAGCAGGGCCCCGGGCAGACAGAGGCCGAGTCGAAGGCCCTGGTGTGAGGGCTCTGGATGGGGGCCCTGCTCTGGCGGCTGCGGGGAGAACAGCATTCGGGGGTGGTGACAGGAGCTCAGGGGGTGGCCACAGTTGTCCAGCAGGTCCAAGCAGGACTGCTGAGGTGCCAGTGCCGGGAGGAGGGCAGACTCTGGACGTGGTTGAAGGTGGAGCTCACAGGAGCTACTGATGGATTGGATGGGGTATGGGGGACAGGCAAGGGGAGGGGGCAGTGTGACTCCAAGCGTTTTGGCCAGAGTGACTGTTCATGGAGAAGTGGATGACTGGTCAGGGCCACATGCCCTCTGGAGGCTTTGGGGGAGGGTCCTTCCTGCCTCTTCTGGCTCCCAGGGGCTCCAGGCGTCCTTGGCTGGGGACCACATCGCTCCTGTCCCTGCCTCCATCTTCACGTGGTGTCTCCTCTGTGTCTGTGTCTCCTCTCCTGTCTCTTAGAAGGACAGTCTCACTGGCTTTAGGGCCGCCCTCCTCCAAGAGGACCTCATCTTAACTCAGTTATGCTTGCGAAGACCCTATTTCCAAATAAGACCACGTTCACAGGTGCCGAGGGTTAGGGCTTGGCCGTGCCTTTCGAGGGCACATAATTCAGCCCCCAGCACCCTCTGCTTCCCGCCCTTCGCGCTGCCTGTGCAAAGACAGACACGGCGGCGGAGGAGACACCAGCAACGACGCAGACTCGCAGGGGCACCCCCCCCATTCACTCTCCAAGGAGGCGTCCAGGGCAGCAGCTGGTGTGGGAGGGTCTAGGCGGGGTGGTCCCAGCAGAGGGAATCGAGGCCAAAGCCCCAAGGCACGTGTGAGCAGGCAGCGTTCTAGAAGGCCAGGGAGGTGCGACCCCGATGGTGCCAGGGCTCGTGGGTCAGGGTGGGGCCTGGTTCCCAGACAGGGGAGCAGTGGA